CTGAATAGTCAACTGATATCCATTATGGTCGGGATAAGGAATTATTTTAATGGTGTTAATGGTTTTGTGGTTAATAGGGATATGTGAAATAAGTAACATCATCGTACAGAAGGTTCCTGTGGAAGTTTAACGGCATTAGTTTTCTTTTGTTTCTTTAATTGTGTTTTGTAGTATTGGGTTTCCCTATTTCGATTGGTAATTTTGTAATGGTCTTCGTCTATTTTTTCTACATTTTATTTGCTTTTAATGGATTTTCTAATTTTCCCTTTTGAAGTGGAACTTTTCTGTATCTAGGGTCAATGTTAAATTCCTGTAGATCTTCATTTATTTTATCTATTTTCCTTTCTTTAATATTTTGAGTGTTTAATATTGGATGTCCAGCGTATAAGAATATTTGAGCAGGTGTTTGTCCAGTGGTGTCATGTTTTATTTTATGATTGTATGTGTAAAGAATTGTCTCTATCTTGCTTAATTTTACTTCTTCATCATCGGATGAGTTGATTATTCGGATTTTTTCATTTATTGTCTTATGTAGTCTTTCGACGTCTGCTACACCGGTTTTTGCCGTGTTAAATTGTAATTCAATTCCTTCTGCTTCAAGCCATCGCTTTAGAGTCAAGCTGGTGAAAGCTCCGTCTCTGTCTGCCTTTAGTAATTTGGGTTTACCTAACTGATTAAAAATGCGCATTAGTGCGTTCCTGCATTCTATCCTTTGATTCTGATCCTTTGATTTAATATGTTCAAGTGTAGCGAATTTCGAATAAATGTCAATGCAACTAATGTAATGTTTTCCCTCAGATGAATAAATATCTACCACAAATTTGTCTCGACAATGTTCAGGGTTGGGTGTGATTTTAAGAGGCATTTTGGTATTTCTGTGTTCTGTTTTAGCCAAATTGCATATGTTGCATTCATTTATTATATTCTGAATTAATAGTTGGCTATTTGGAAAAAAGTGATTTTCTTTGAATAATTTAGTCATTTTCTGTATACCTGGATGTAAAAGTTTTTCATGTGATTGAAGTATAATTTCTTTGAATTCGGCGTATGAACAAACATTCTTTAATAAGTGGAGGCTGCGAATTACTTTAGTGTAAGGGTATTAATAATTTCTCTGTGTGCTCTTTGAATGATTTCAAAATCTACATCGCTTTCAATATGAATGGTAATGTTTTATGAATAAAATGATCAAGTAAAATTTGTTTGGCCTTGTCGAGTGTCATTACATTATATTGGATTGTTGTGATGGAGTTACGAATATTGTTGAATGTTGTTGAATGAAAGCACTGTAATTTAATTCATGTTCATTAAGTGTTCTGCTAATAAAGGATATAGGATGACCATTTTGAGAAAGTACGGCTCCAAGGGCTTGATTACTGGCATCTGTGGTTAAAGTGAATTTTTTTCGAAATCGGGTAATTGGAGAATTGGTTCTCTAATTATGTTTTAAGTTTTTTGAATGCTTCTATGTAGTCGATATTTTGTGTATCTATTTTTACTCCTTTTTTTAAACATTTGGTCATTGGTTTTGCTATGTCTGCGTAGTTTGGGATAAATTTATGATAATAACCGGTTAATCCAAGGAAAGCTCTGATCTCTTTTACTTTTGTTGGAATTGGATATGAAACTATGGCTTTAACTTTAAGGGGGTTTGGTTTTATACCATTGGGGGTCACGATGTGACCAAGAAAGCTATAATTGAATAATTGTATTGGTAATTTTCTGATCAATATTTTAATGAAATCTTTAATCGCCTGAATATAAATAAGAAAATCTGGCTGGTTACCTTCTAGATGCAATTTCGAATATAGTACTTGACGTCGTCTTTCTGCTTCTTCGCAGAATGCTCTCAGATTTCCCTTGTAAGGTGTCTCCCTGAAGTTCTCCAGTTGTTTGTACTTCGGTGTTTGGGGTTTAAATTCTGCAACTAGTCTCGATCTAAGGGTAGGCCAACCTTCAATGTTCGGAAGGCCCAATGATCGTGTTACGTGTCCGTCCAAGTTTCTTTCGATGGCTCCAAGAAGAATCCTCTGTTGTCGCACATTATTAGTTTGGTAGAGTGAAATTACATAGTCCACTCTGCTGACGAAGGTGTAGAGAGTTTCTGGATCACCCTTAAATGGCATGATGTCTTTTAGTTGCCGACGAGCTTCAGCAAGGTTGTTGTCGCTTAGTTTATTTTTGATTTCACTTTTTAAAGTTGAAGTGTTTGTTTAAATTAATCTTCTTAAAATTTATTTGTTGTTATTAACTTTTAGGTGCCGTTGGACTTATTGTGTTTTTCTTTTGTTCTTCCACTTTTTGTTGGACAACAGAATTGGAATTATAATCCAAGTTGAAGTGTTTTAAAACGTTTTGCGTAATTATTGTTCGAGAACTGAATTATAAAATTTAATTTATTTTTCACTCGAGGTTCTTTTTTTCTGGTACTTTTTGTATCCTACCGACTGCGCCAGTGAAGTGTTTCTGTTTTGTGAGTCGAACTAATGTCCCGTCAGTTGACTAAGGACAACGCTAAGTTGAATTAATAAAACGAATATTCCGCTTCACGTCTTTATTCAAATGATCTCAGCTTAAGACTAAATTATTGTGACAAAAATCTTACTTCTACTGCCCTTTGTTTACAAAAGTTGGGGTGCGAGATCGCCCGCTTGGGATATTGATTGAAGAAAATCGGGTATCTCAGTGCATTGATGTCCGATGTAATCTTCAAAACTGTGTAATGAAAACTTCAGCATGTGTGTTACAAGAATAAAAAAAATTTGGAATGGTAAGTCAACTACTTTTTTTTTATAACCTTCTAAAATCAGCAAGTTTTCTTGCCGCACCCTGTACATGTATATGTATGTATATGTATACTAGCTGTACCCTGCCACGTTTCTCTGTGGCATATTATGGTTAAGAGGGCACTTCTGAATACATCAAGGTTCTGGCAAAATCATCTTCCTGGCATAAGGTGAAGAAGGCAGTCAGAGTTGTCGCTGGCCGATTCAGGACTCTTTCTTGCACATTTTTTTCTGTGAAATAGACACGTTGACCATTCTCCAAATGGACTGCCACGTTTCTCTGTGGCATATTATGGTTAAGAGGGCACTTCTGAATACATCAAGGTTCTGGCAAAATCATCTTCCTGGCATAAGGTGAAGAAGGCAGTCAGAGTTGTCGCTGGCCGATTCAGGACTCTTTCTTGCACATTTTTTTCTGTGAAATAGACACGTTGACCATTCTCCAAATGGACTGCCACGTTTCTCTGTGGCATATTGTGGTTGAACGCATAAGAAATAAGTCACATTGAAATGGTATCCATCGGCACCATCCCAGAAGATTAGTGGATACTGCAAAGCATCGTAACAACGGTGAGTTTCTGCGACGTTTACCAATCGATCGTTTCGTCGATGGAGAACAATATCTCGAGGTTGAAACTGATCCCCGACTATGACAATTGCCACTTCGTCTATAGTTGGAGCATTATATCTCCTGATATGTTCTCCAGCAGGCCTTTTGTCTGCATGAATGACAATTTTATGGGTATCCGAAGGCATCATATCGATTGCTGTTTTGAATAAACGCACCAAATTGTTCCGTTCGTGAAAAAGATTCTGTAGCTGCGAAATAATTGGCCTCTTCAGCGATTTATTGATTCCATAACGTGCATCTACTTCATCTCCATCATCACCAATGAAGTACATTTGAAGAAATTTGTGTTCGCTGTCTTGGAACGGAAGCAGGGAACCGGCTTTATGATAGATTTGTCCTTTGATTTTAAAAGTTGGCATGAATTGCGCAGTTATAATTTCCGCACCAAATGACGTCATTTGAAAGCAAGAGTTGTATTTCCTAATGTTCGACAGGAAATGCTTCGATTCAGCAGTAGATCCAGCGAATAGAGAGTGCAGAGGCTCTGGTGGTGCTTCAAGTTGAGGCAATTTCACTTTCCCGGAAGCGCAACACAATCCTTTTGGTTCGTTTTTGAATTTGAGAGCCTGACAGTATATGCAGACCTGATGCATCTGGCCAATAACGACATTGCGATTCGAGCTATAATCAACAGTTGGATTATATCTGAATGCAAGACGATTGTATTGCAGGGTTTGATCTGCTGCAAGCTGTAAACGCGCTTCAGTTACCCTTGCCCTGTCGCGATCATTATTTTGCGAGTGAATCAAATCGATTGCTGCAGAACGCGACTGCCTAACTCTCAATCGTTTTCTCTCAAGCCTATCTGCTCGTCTTTCTGCTGATTCCTCTATGTGCATTTGCATTGCTCTCTGCCGCTCAGTCTCTCGGAAGGAGGCCCGTTCTTCGTCAGTCATATTCGTAATCTTACGTCTTTTTGCTTCTGTATTGCGAATACAACGACCCAATCTCGACTTTTTTGGTGGCATGACTTCGTTTCTTACTGAACCTGAACAAAAAATAAAATTTGTATCTCCAATTTCATCTTTCAATATGATTTTAATGTTTGACAGGAAATGCTTTGATTTGCTTGTAGAGGGCGCAGTAGTAGGGGCACGGGGAAACGCTAAAAAAATAGATATATTCGCAGCCGCAGATAAGCTATCAACATCAAAAGTAGTCAATAACCGAGCTGGAACCTCAACGCATGTTCTCTAAAAATTTGGGCATAAACGGTTCAGAACTTTTCAAGTTTCTTCTTTCAATATGTTTTGAATGTTTGACAGGAAATGTTTTGATTCAGCTGGCTGCCTGTAGATGGCGCAGCAGTAGGGTCACTTGGAAACGCTAAAAAAATAGATATATTCGCCACCGCAGATAATAGGGGGATGAAAAATAGATGTTGGCCGATTCTCATAGATACCGGATAAGCACAAAAAATTTCATCAAAATCGGTCAAGCCGTTTCGGAGGAGTATGGCAACGAAAACTGTGACACGAGAATTTTATATATTAGATATATGAGGAAATTTATAATTCATTTTTTTTTATTTATTTATTTAATTAAAAAACGTTATACTTTGTTTAATGATTACCACAATTTTTCTTCGCATAATTTCTTGCATTCGCCCTAAACGTATGTTACGGGTCTCTCCTTCCGGCTGTTGCCTCGTCAATCTATAATTAACATACACATGTACATAAAGTACAGATATACATATATATGTTAGAATCAAATGGACAATATTTTCCATAAATATACACACCAATTAAGAAGAGAACAAATACTGGATATATAATGGCCTTCCGTTCACACCGTCTAGGTTAAAAAAGAGTCCAGGTTCAAAAGCAATTCTGGAAATGAATTTATTAACTGAATACAAATAAGTCACTTATCCTTTAACAACATTTAATAAATTACATTGCAAAACACTTGTGAATACTTCAGCTGTCATTAGAGCTGTGAACAAATCGATTTCAACAACGAGATTATCGATTCTTTTTTTCGTTTAATAATATTTTTCATCATCTCAATCTAATTTCGGGACCGCTGCTCTGAATCCCTCTGAAAATAACAATTAATTGTTTGGCAGTATCCGAACACAGGTAGAATTTTCATTGCCTTCTTTGTTTCGGAGTTCTCTTACCGAAACCCATCGGATTTGTTTTTGTTTTTTGAACATGACATCAGGAATCGGACAAAAAAGGAATTTCGGTACTGAAGGGGACGCCTGAGTTTTTTTAGATTATAAAACTCCACGGCCACACCAACAAGATCCGTTGGAATTTCCTCACGAAGTTGGTCCCGAGTTGGGCCTTAATTGACTAATTGTGAAATTCCGTTCTTCATCTTCTATTAGATTAAGCATTTACATATATCAATATTAATTCCTTTAAGTAAACAATAATAATAAACTTACCTTCAAAAACGTTGAGCAACATGTCTCCGTTCAAACTTTTTAAAAATTTCTCCATGGCTTCACTTTTGTACACAACTTTGCTCTTTGATCTGTTTACACGGACTAAAAACCCGAAGCTAACCCTTTACACGAACTGAAAACCCAAAGCCCTCCCGAAGAATAACGAAAATATCTTCTTCTATTTCATTCTCAAGCATTCCCCTTGAAACTTAAATCTGTAACCTGTAGTTCTAGGGCTAATTCGACATGGTTATCCGAAAAATGACCTGCAAAACTAGGGCGATTCGCCCGTATATTGAGAAAGAAGCTAAACGAACAAAATCGGGAAAAATTCGCCCTTGTCTTGATTTTATGGTGCCTTTCCCTAAATTTATGAAAACCTTTTCTTAATTCTAGAAAATGTTTCCTAGTTTAAGGCGATTATTTTTTAGGGATATTTTTCTAAAATCTAGAGAAATATTTTTATGAGCGTATATACTCCCTCTCGTAAATATGTTGGAACGGGCGGATCGGACGACTATATCATATAGCTGCCATAGGAATGATCGGAAAGTTAAAAAAAATATATATATTATTTTCAGTTCTAAACAGAATTTGATAAAATTTAAGATATATCCCCAATTTATATTACTATTAATTTTGTGTAAAATTTAATGAAAATATGTCTACTATATTATAAAGCTCCCATAGGAACGATCGAGAAATTAATTCAATTAAAAAGTATAACATTTTCAGTTTTCAACAGATTTTCATCAAATTTAAGTTATAGTCCATTCTATATATTCTACAATTTTGTTTGTACAGCTCCCATAGAAATTATCGTTAGATATTGAGGAAATATGCAAATCTGTGAATGCAAAACTGTAAATATAATATGTCTATATGAATGAAATGAAAGCAGGTATTACTTCATTGTTTTTAACATAAGTATATATCATCTATATTGTATTGATTCCTAGTCATCAAGGTTTTATCTGCAAGGTTATATAATTTGCGTGCCGAAGATACCTTCCTTTCTTGTTTTTTTATTTAGCATAATTAATATATATCTAATAATTCAAATATATTATATAATATTCATACATATTTATATATTCTGTGGACACATTTAATATGAAAATAAAATTTAGTTAAATGCTTTTCTGAAAATAAACAAAACGCGCCAGAAAGTCTACCTCTATGGTGGTGTAGAAACGATTTATCCAATATGTATTAAGAACTCTATATTTTGTTATTATTTGTAATATTATTATTGTGACTATATAGTTTTAAATCAAGTATTGGAATAAAACACTTAATATACATATATATATATATATATATATATATACATATATATATATATATATGTATATTTATTTATTTATTTATTTTATATATATATATATATATATACATATATATATATATATATATATTTTTTTTTTTTTGTATAACATATAAAAATAAAGAAAAAAATAAAATATAAAGGCATTCAAGCGCTTAAAATGTAAAACAAGCTAAATTCAAAACATACAAAAAACTTAAAATGCATATGCTTTCAGTGCAATACATCGCAGTCCGACTTTGCTTCATGCGATGAGAAATTCAGGATAGAAAACTATGTCGAACAGGGATGGCCTAATGCAAGGTCCCCAGTTCAGAAAAGTGGCTAGAGTGGCATACAGTACCTAAATCGAACGCTGATCCGTTCAAAGTAGAATTCTGTGCTGAGGTATTTCCCTATCGGGATATTTTTTCTACACAAAGTTCGATGACAAAAAAGAAAAAGAAAAGAAAATCACCACAATTATATTACGTTTAGATTTTCAAACTACGTCAAATTCCTTTAAATGATAATCGGAAAACATTTAGAAAATAAAATTATATTAATATGAACTTAATATTATATTTTCGAGAGCTTGTGTACTTTTTAAGTATTATAGGTCAGGTTAGGTTAGGTTAGGACGGCCCTCCTGACGGGGCCAATCATAGGCCAGTATGGCCCTTATTTATCCGGATGTTGTTTTCACATAGTCCTGGAGAATCTTACGCGGTGTTGAAATCCTTTAGGATCGCGGTAGTTTTTGCGAAGCCAAGTAGTTCACCTGGCGACCTCTTGGAGGCATGTACTTGTGATGCCAGTACTGGGGCACCTAAGTGCTTTACTCTTGCCTGCGTTAGGGCTGGGTACTTATAGATGAGATGCTCCAAGGTTTCGGTTGCTTCAGATTCATCGCATTTCCAGCAGTTACTAGTAGACTAGTAGTCTGCAGTCTTTTCGGGATAGCTACAGTACGTAGTGGCAGAGTTTGTTATTGCGCTCTTTGCACATGATTTTAGTTATTTTGCTAGTCGCAGAGTTTCCTCTTCACCTGCTTTTTGCTCGTACGCCCGCCAGTCTCTCTAACTCGCCTTGGAGCGTTCTTAGAAAGACTGGGACGTTTTCTGTTCTATCGATAGCCAGTCCGACTCCTTCCCTCGCCAGTTCGTCTACGATCTCGTTTCCCTCTATGCCCTGGTGGCTGGGAACCCAGTAAATCCGCACTGACATTGTCGTGCTCAGGATATCTAGTACGTCCCTGCTTGCCAGTATATTTTTGGAACTGACCGCTGACGATTGAATGGATCTGGTCTCCGCCTCACTGTCTACGAACAGGTTTACCGCCTCACATGGACGGGCTATTTCCTGCGCAAGCTCTGTCGCCTGCCTGATGGCAAAGACTTTCGCATGGAATATGCTGCATTAGCTTGGTAGCTTATACGATAGCCTCGTCTCATAGTCTGTACAGTATATAGCCGCTCCAACTCCTCCTTCCCTCTTGGAGCCGTCAGTGTATATGTTGAGGTATCGAGCATGGTCCTGAACCGTTTTCCAACTTTCAGGTCACATGAATGTGGATGTTTTCACATCAAGGCAACTTCTATGCGTCATGTAGTGAGATATACTGCTCATGGTTCGACCAATTGAGCTTTGTCCGAATCCATGTGGCGACATGTTTCCGAGCGCTACTAGGCGTTGTGCAGCCTTTCCCGCGGTCAGTTGCGCGTGGATATCCAGGGGATCAATTCCAATTATAGTCTCTAGAGCTTTTGTGGGGGTTGACCTCAGCGCCCGAGACATGCAGAGCAGTGCCAGACACTGGGCTCTCTCCATAAGCTTATTGTAGGTCCTTTTTTTCATGGCTTGGCACCACAATAAGACTCCGTATAGCAATGCCGGACGCACCACCGATATATAGACCCAGTGCATCAGAGCGGGAGAAAGCACCCATGTGCTACTGAGTATCTTCTTGGATGCATATAGCGCAATGGTGGCCTTTTTCACCATCTCTAGAACATTGGGTTTCCAAGCCAGTTTGCTGTCCAGTACAATGCCAAGGTATTTGACTTATGTTTTCGGGGTCAGCCTGGTGGTATTTATTTTTGGGAGGATCTATGGCGGTACCTTGTATCTCTCAGTGAAGAGAATGAGTCCGTCTTATCCGCATTGATTCTGAGTCCTACCTTAGCCGTAAACTCACATATCTCCCCGAGGGTTGATTACCTGATCGAACTAAGGGTCGATGAACATACTCCCGTGATAATTATGCTTATGTCGTTAGCATAAACTGTTATCTTTGGGGCGTTCCTCTCGAACTTTCAGATTAGGTCGTCGAGCACTAGATTCCATAGGAGAGACGATATAACTCCACCTTGCGGCGTGGTTCTGTGCGCTCCTTTCTCATGGAAGCGGGGCACCAATCCGATTGTACCCGTCGGCAACTTAATAGATGTTGGTCGCTCCTAGGCGCTTACATTACTGAATACCCCGGATATGTCAACAAAGACTCCGAGAGGGGTTTTCTTCAAGGTGGCTAATAGCGAATGCAGCGCCTTCTCCACTGATTTCCCTTTTGTGTATGCATGCTTGTTGGTTGACAGTGATCTGCCCACATCGTTTCTGAGGTCCAGCAGCTTTTCTAGCGTTTTGAGTAGAAAGGAGGTGAGGCTTATCGGCAAGTAGTCCTTTGGACTGAACTGGTACTTTGTCCCGCTACGAGTGTTATATCTAGCACGTTGGACGAGGTGGGGCCTACAAAGGTGTGTTCCTTCCCCACGTTTGCTATATCTAAATTGGTAGAGAAAAAATATGTCTAAAAATGACTCACCTCTGTCGTTTATGTCGGGGCTTCCCCATACGCTGTGGCGCGCATTGGAGTCTGCACCCACGATCAGTTGCTGGTCCTTTGGGCCGGGATCTACCAGACTCCTGAGTTCTTCCGGTGGAGCTGGCCTATGTGTGCTATGTAGAAGGAAGCTACCATTAGACTCTGCTTTTGGCTTTCTAGCAACACCACAGTCAGGTCGTCCGAGTTGTAATGAGACATATGGTTAGCTTGAAGACCTTTTGTACGAGTACGGAGTACGTTCCGTACGGAACGCGTTGTAGTTTGAGGATTTTAGTCCAGCGACGGTATTGCCAGAGGCAATCCATGACTCTTGAACTAGAGCTACATCGTCGGACCCTTGCTACATGGCAATTAGGAGTTCCGCTGACGCTACCTTGCTCTTATGGAGATTGAGCTCCAGCACCTTTAGGGACATGGGTACTGGGCTCAACTTCACTCGACGGGTTGACTACTATCGTCAGGTCACCATCTTCCTCCTCTTCGGACTCATCCAGCGTTAGTTCCTGGGCGGTATCCAGA